TCCATAAGTGGTTTCCATTTCGTGTATTAAATCATAATAGAAAGTTAGTTTGTAAAAAAGGTATACGACGTGGTATATTTTGGTCTTGATTTATAAAATGAAGTTAGAAATTGAACGGACTGTGGTACCAGATAACAGCATTTAAGGAACTATTATGTTAAAAGTTGTTTGGTATCTTCGATTTCGGTCGATAATAAAATTTTATTACGGGAATGTGCCCTATTAATGTTTTAAAACGTGCCTTGTGCGTATAAACCCTGGAACTTGGTCGATAAAAATTAATTTATTATAGGTACTCATCTTAAGCATAGTAATCACTTTCCTTTAGTTTTAAGTAAATGTGCCTATGTATTGATAAACATTTCTTTTTATTCAGTTGTGTCTGATTTTTCTGACTGTTCGGTTTAAAAATACTTATTTAATAATAATTATGTCGAAAAGAAGCAAATACATGTGTGAGCTAGCAAAACTTATGGAAAACCAAACAAATAGTGTAATGTCTAGCGTGGAATTTGATTCAAATATTACCATGTTGAGGTAAGTCGGAAATTTTTTATTAAAAAATAACTATGTTGTTTACTGATTATTTTTTCGTGGTTTTTCGGCCAGATTGAAGAAATAACACAAAACTCTCTTTTTTTTACGACGTTTCAATTTATTTTGTTACTAAATCTTAAAAAAAAAATAAAGAAAATAGAAGAAAATAGAGTTTTGTGGTATTTCTTTAATCTGGCCGAAAATCACGAAAAAATAATCAGTTTATAAGACACGGCTTCTAAAAGTTTATGTTGTTTACTAAATTTTTAAAATATAATGCATTTTATACATCATTACATAATTTAAATATATTGTAGAATATGGATGATACCAATGTGACAGAATTCTACCGTCACAGCGAACCATCGTCATCCAATAGTCGTATTCGTGAAATGGTTTTAAACGAGAAAACTGGATGTTTTGAATCAGCTTCTACCATAGATTCTGTTGATGATTATGATGTAAGTATTAAATCTTTGTACCTATACTGTTTAGTAAAATGCTTTATAATGCTATTCGCTATATTATTTCTATTTAATGAAAACTAAACTTTGATGTACCTATTGTTACAATCTAAAAGAAAAAATACAACTTCCTTAGGTACACACAATTTTGTAAACACATATGTATTATATCTTATTATACCAATGTTAAATTGATACCTATTATTATGATCATCAATTATTATTGATTAAAGTAATTATACAATAATGTAAGCATATGAAAATTATTTTTCGATGAGTACCTATAGTAAACTTTATGAAAAAGATTAATTTGAATGAATTGAATTTGTTTTATTTTTTGGTACCTGGTAATTGATTAATAAGTTAACTTCTTTAATTAAAATAGACGCTTTCTATAATTTTTTGAAATCTTTATTTAAAATATTATCTAATAATACCTACCTTTTTATTCTTACAGAATATGTCAATAAGTGATGTCTTTAGTAGCGGTTCCTCTGATATGTTTATACCATCGTCACATGAAGAGAGTTCCGATAACAATGAAAGTTGTGATGATAATCCATTTTTAGCCAGTACATCAGGTCGTCCAAAGAAGGGTAGAAAAAAGAAATTTGCAATGACGCGAGCAACATCAAAGATTAATAGGAACAAAAATGAATCTTACATTGACTACAAAGGAAAATTGAAAGCTGCTAAAGAATTTCAATATGACTACAATTGTAACTGCCCGATGAAATGTTCTGAGTTGATTTCTACAGAGTCACGAAAACAAGAATTTGATCGTTTTTGGAGTCTTGGGTCTTATAATGCCCAAACTATCTTTATTGCCAATAATATCCACGAAATGCCGAACAAAAAGAATGTATGGAAGAAACACTGAAAGACGTCTGTATTCCAGACAATATTCCTTACTTAATCAGCGTATTTGTAGGCAAATGTTTATCAATAGTCTTAGAATAACTCCGTCAAGAGTAACAACAGCTCTGAGAAAGGTAAACAATCGTGCTCCAATTCTTGATCAAAGAGGTAGAAAACAAGGTGGTTTAAACAAAGTCCCTGAAAATAAAATTCAGGACAATAATTCAACCAGATCAATAACTGCCTAAGTACATATCGCACTACTGTCGTGAAAACACGTCTGCATTATTTTTACCGGCACATCTCTCATTATTAAAGATTTATGATCTATACAAATCTGAAGTTCAAAACCCTGTGAAATTTGGTATTTATAAGAGGATTTTTTACGAAAAATTTAATTTGAGATTTAATGTTCCCAAGAAGGACACATGCCAGGTATGTGATTCATTTAAAATAAAACTAGAAAATGAAACGGATGATCATAAAAAGCAACTTTTACAAATTGAACTCGACACTCATCAGGATTTGGCCCAAAAATCACGAGAAACATTAAAGGCAGATTTAAAACGAGCTAAAGATGAGGATAATGTAGAGTGTTTAACATACGATCTTCAAAAAACTCTACCTTTACCAAAATTCAACCAATGTAATATATTATAAGAGGCAAGTTTGCTTGTATAATCTCGGTGTATTTTCAGGCAAACGTAATAAGAGTTATTCCTATGTATGGCTTGAAGGAACTGCTGGAAGAGGAGCTCAGGAGGTTGGTTCCTGTATTGTAAAATATTTAGAAAACATAGAAAGTACTGTTGAACATCTTATATTGTGGTCTGATTCTTGTGGAGGCCAGAACCGTAATATTAAAATAACACTCCTCATGGCCAGTCTTCTTCCAAACCAGCCATTAATATAAAAACTATAACATTTAAATTCCTGATTTCCGGCCATAGTTTTCTACCAAATGATAAAGATTTTGGGGATATAGAATGTCAACTCAAACGTCAAGAACGAATATATACACCTTTAGACTATATAAATATAATAAATTCATGTCGTAAAAAGTCTCCAATAACAGCTACACAAAATGAAAAAGGAATGGTTTTTGAGTACCCACCAGCTCGAGAAGGCCACAATAAACAGAAAAGTTGGCACCAATAAAGAAAAAATAAATTGGTTGGAGACAAAACAAATTATATTAACAAAAGAAAATCCTTACCACATCTTTATGAAACTAGTTATTTTGGCGATGAAAGTGTATGTTTGGATATTGAGCGACGAGGACGATTAAATACAGAGAGCTTTTCGGCGCTGCTTATGCAACTCTGGCCCAATGGTAAACCCCTGTCAGAGGATAAAATTAACGATATTAAAAGCTATTTACATCTAATTCCTTCAGACGCTAAACCGTTTTATGAAAAATTTTACAAGTGCTAATGTAGTCGAAGACGTTGATGGATTTAATGTTCCAGTTCTAGATTTGAGGTAGATACCCACAATAATTAAAACTTTTTTTAAATTTACATTTACATAAGAAAATCATTGTAATTTTGTTTCTTTGGATCATTAAAATTTTTATAAAAATATGACATTATTTATTTATCTGAAAGATTCCAACCCACATAAGTATGTTTTATCGAAATTTTTTTTCGGATTTTTGTTTTTTGTTAAAAACGTCCAACCTAAAATTTTCAAAATAACTTCATTGAAACTTACATTTAAAAGAAATTACAAACGAGGTGCCTACGAGATGAATATCATTATCTTAAAATCATTGCCAGGCGAATAAATTATGCATAGTTTAGCTAGGGCACACTAAAATCTTTTAAACTCAATTTCCCAACAATCACTTTTTTTGGGTTGGACGTTTTCTGCTTAACTACGTCCATTTGGGACTCGAATATATATTAAATCAGAACAGAAAATTAGTTTTTAAAAAAATATATATGGTATAGTTTGGTATTGATCTATGAGATTATTCAGAGAACTCATAATCTGCAGTAAGTTCTGTTGAGAACCTACTGTTCTTATTTCCCTATATTTTTTTAGGTAGTTCAGACTGTTCAATCTACATATACTTAATAACAAGTATACTAGTCATAGAGACTTACGGATAGAACTGGTAAACAAATTAAGTTTTTTATCCAATTGTTTCGATGCTTTGGGGATACTAGTAGGTTAATTTCATTTTCCAGAAATTAATTAAAATAATTCTTTTTTTATTTTGATTTTTCACAAGGATTTTATCACTAATTGTCGATATATTAGAGAAGGATCCGAATTCATGTCAAATCATCTTTTATTTTTGTGTCGTTTAATTATATAATCTTAATAACGAAGAAATTTAGCAAATTTGGAGACTTATTGGAATTAGTAGGCTAGTAAGTCGGTTTTCCAGTAAGCTTGGCACAAGTTACGTTCTAAGAAATGGTACTGAGTTTGGAGTAATCTGTATATTTATCTTTGAAGTCTTTGCCAATAACAAAATCAAAACTTACTTCGTTAAAGATAGTAATATGTTAAGTCACACTTTTCTTCTTCATAGTGTGTACTGTTATTTTGCATTAAACTGCACTAACTCCACGTGCCATGTTGGCAGGATGTATTGCGTGCTAAGTTGAATGGTTTTAAATTCAATATAAGATTCCATAATATAACGAGTGTCTGGTATAATGTATATACCTATATTTTTCGGTAGCAGTTTAAATTACTGTTGCAGTGCTTGTAGTTTGCTCAACTTCGGATGTACTGTTGGTTGTTGCTTTACTACAAGTTTTTTCAGAACTTTAAGAATTGTTAGACGACTTATTTTGAATTGCATGTATTAATATTGTAGTTTTTCTTAACGTATGATGTTTTACCAAGTTTTAAACGAGATATAATTATACTGGGTCTACTATAAGTAACGACAAGTAAAATATATTGACAACATAGATAAAACACCCTGTATCTTTGATACGGAAGTAGTAAGACTCATTACATATGGGGCTTAAGATTAGTTAAATGTTCTCTAACTTGTGTACATTTACCGATGAAACACCCTGTATATTGAAATAAAGATGCATATCCAATACATAATTTAGTTTTTATCTTAAAACTATTTTTTTTGTAACAAATATCTTTCTATTACATATTTGAGCTTACCTTATCTCTGTAGGCTTTAATAAATCCCCGTCTCATTAGAACTCCTAATTGGTGTAGTTGTGATGTAGGAAACGAGGAATCATCTTTGTTAGAAACTGGTTTAATACTTTTGGGACCTAACGAAACAGATTTAAATTGACATTAAATATATTTCTATTTGCTCACATGAACAAAAAAAAAATCATTCATATGATACTATAAACGTGGAAGCCTTCACTTCTTTTATCTTATGATTTGTTTAATTTTTTAGAATATATATATATATATATATATATATATATATAATATATATATATATACATATGTATATTTAATAATAATTAATAAAATGATAATCAAAATGAAATAATTAAACTAGATAATGATGAAAAAGTTCATGATAGGATGAAAGTCATTAAATTTTTAAAAAAGAAAATTAAAATTTTTTAAGTTTTAAGGAACTTAAATGTTAACGATTAAGTAATAAATTTTGAAAATTAAGGCAATTATATCGAGCATAAGTTTAATTAAACCTTGCCCAAGTACTTTCGTTGTATGCCCAAGTATGTTATCATTCATATTCATGACATTCTACGCTTGCCGGATAGCCCATATTTGACGAAGTAAGTCTAAAACGTTAATCACAAATAACTTTTATCATCCATTAACTTCGAGTTTTTATTGAAGTTAATTAAGTTCCTTCATCTAAAAACCGTTTTTTTGGCTTATTTTAGATGCCCCTGAAGATGCTATATTAAGCGAAAGTACTTGGGCAAGATTTAATTAAACTTGTGCTCGATATAATTGTCTTAATTTTCAAAATTCATTTATTCGAGCATCCAACCTCTTGCTCCCATTGTTCTTTTCGTGTTAGCAGCGTACACAAGATGAGTGCGTTTTTCTGACGGGAGACTTTATTGTTATATTAAAAAACGTTGTTATGTGTTCATATAACACGCTCATTTTCTTTATTCTTTATAAATCTAGAACATAAACACATATATGTTAAGGCGAGTAAAGACAATCTGTCTTTATTATCAGCATGTTTCTTTCATGCGAAAGTGTATCGATACTTTCTCTTTTTGTTGCCCTGGATCCTGAACCCCTTTATCAAGTTGTCAGATGTCATTGGAAAAAATTCCGGAAAGCTTTAAATAGTTTTACTGACTGTCGACAAAAGAGTTTATGATAGTATGATCTCTCCAAACTTTGAGTATTGCTTTATTAGTCCGAGTCGGACACGGTTTTCCTCTGCCAATTTTTTTAATTCCAGGCCGTTTTTCTTTAACTTTCACGAAACATGTCGATTTTACAATATCACATACGAACATTTATAGATACGATTATAATTTTTATTTTAATAGCTTAACAATTATAAGAGAAACATGAAAATAAAATGGTCTAACGATTTTCTGGGTCACTCAACGCTTCTGACGCAATGAACATGTGGGAAAAGCACATGAGACGAAGCTTATATTATATAACCAGGTAATTTTTTCAGGATCCTTTCATTATCAGCAGTAAAATCAACTTTTCATGTTGTTTGATGAAAGTTGTTGTCCAATTTTAATGTCTGACAGGTGAACGTGATCGATTTTATGACTTCAAAAAATTTATTTATAACAGTCACACATTGAAACATTAAGACAATCAGTACTTTCTACGTGGCTCACGGATTTATTGGCGCATAACTAGTACACTTTTATTATTCTATATTTACCTGGGTAGTTAGAAATGGTGCTTCTCATCTTCTCAGGCTCATTAAAATATTGGTAAGATTGTCCATTCTGATTTCTATCTCTCATATACTCAGGTTTTTCAGGTCCATGTTCAATGCATGCTAGTTCTATTACTGAAAAAAGAAAACATCCAAAATTTAGCAAAATATTCAATCACCAATATTAAAAATCATTATATATTTCCTAAAACACTGCAAACAAAATCCGTTAGGTATTGGTATTTCCGTAAGATATGAAGTAATCTTACTTCAAAAATGTAAGTCAAAAACAGCTGTTGTCGTCGCTGTATGTGGTAACCATGTTTTCTAAAAAAGTTTTTGATGTGAATTATACATATGTATAAGGGTTAGACCCAAGATCTGTGGCCTAGAGAGCCCGATCTTTGTTTTTTAATATGTTGTTTGTCCACAATTTTCCTTCTTTGGAGTATTTATTGCCTAATTAACAATAGCTCTGATGATGACATTTATTATGTCGAAAGTATACTCTTCTTCTTCAAGTGCCGTCTCCATCAATGGAGGTTAGCGGTTATGGTGGCAAAAGTATACTCAGCTTAATTAATAAATTATTTTACACACTATCAATTTTATTGAAAACATACAAAACCTGCTTACCAGTTAGACCTATTTAGAAGTGTGTACAAGTCTTACAGCCTTTTTCAATTTAAAATAAGTAGAACCACTATTGAGAAACACGTGAAAAGTTAAATCTTGATCAAGATTAAAGCAAATGTAATTTAATACTTACTTTATAGTGTTGTAAGTTATTTATGTATGTTATGTATATAAGTATGTTAATATGTATACCTAGTAAGTATTAAACTACATTTGCTTTAACCTTGGTCAAAATTTAACTTTTCACGTTTTTATTCATTAAAGTGGTTATACTTATTTTAGGTAGCTCATTGAAGATGGAATAATTATTCCAAAAATTTTCTGCGACTTAACCCGAAAGGGTTGTTTTAATCAATATACCTTTTATAAAAATTTTTTTAATAAAAAAAGCTTTTAAATAATGTAGTTTTGTATTGTTTTAGGCGACTCATTTAATACTCGTCTTTTTCTGATACATATCTGTTCCGGATGTTGATGAGAATCATGGCAATTTTGACTTTATTTACAGCTACTTAAAACAGATCCGCGGTCCTTATTGAAGCGAGTGCGTCGGTTAGGGAGTTCTTTTCCGAATACTTTCTGGGTTCTTGACTTTCTGTCCCCGAAAATCCTTTCGAAGTCCGTTGTCATCTCGAGTTTGTCTTTAACCAACTGAAGTAAACCGTAATTCTCATAATTTCTTTATGTTTAAAGTTCCCTAATGTCCGTTTTGTTATTGTCGTAAATTCTTTGAGTTCTTTTCACATTCTGTGGAGAACTTCAAAATTCATCGCTCGATCTATCCAACAGATCCGTAGTATCCGTCTACAGCGCCATATCTTAAAAGCCTCTAAACTTCTTCATTGATGCCCCCAACAGAGTTCGAGCCTCGACTTCTTTTAACAAAACCAAAATTATTATTGAAAAATTAGGTTTGTCTTAACGAATGCCGATCGGACCTTTGCTGCCTGTAATTTTATCTCTAGATATTAAGCGGTATTCACGTTGGTACCTACCAAGATCTGCATAGCTCCCTACTTTTTCAGTATTTTGATTGTTTTTCAATAGCTGAGTAATAATTAGTGGATGTTTATCAACAATAATGTATTTGGTCTTTGTTATATTAAGGTCTAACCTATATAGCTTCCAAACGACCTCTCCAAAAATTACTGTATCGTATGCAACGTGACGTTGTTGAGTATTTCTCTACTCACTATAAACTCTCTGGTTCACAACGTCTATAGTATGTAGATATAAAAAAATTATTTATAGTATATATTAGTGTAAAGAGAAGACAATATTCATTCCTATCGTACTCTTTTTTGTATGATTAAATTTATTACAATACTAAATGCGACGCTACTGACTAAACAACATTGCACCGATACCATCAACGACAAAGAACAGCTGTTATCAATAATTTTTAATGTAAAAAGTGTACTTTAGCACTAATAAATATGTAATAGTCAGCGGGAGCGATAACGATAATATTTTGATTCATCAATTAAATGATTCAATAAAAAAGCATATTAAAACTCGTGTAAAATGAACCTAATCATTTTTATAATTTTTCATAGATTAGCTTTTTATTTCAGAAGACATTTTTTCATCGTTATGCTTGAATAAAATTGTTGTTATTTTATATAAAATCGTTACGGATATAATATATATTACGGATAGATTATTAGATATAGATATACTAACAAAATTTGAAGTTTTTACGGTTTCTCGAGACAATATCAAACCAAATTCAAATAAATAAACTTTAAAATGGGAAGAGGTATTGGGGTCAGTGGCATATTTCAATAATCTAATATCCTAATAAATATTAATTTACTTATGTACTTATTTTCTTTTAACGTGCTGACCCAAAGATGTTTGGTGGTAATCGAGATTTTTATGTATGCTTTATAGACTACAACAAGGCATTCGATAAAGTAAAACATGACCGACTTATAGAAGTACTCAAAAACAAGAATGTGGATGTGAGGAATGTAACATTGATATAAAGTATACTACAGCCAATTATCAAATGTGAAAATTGGAAGAGAAGTGTCAGAAGAAGTGGAGATAAGGAAAGGAGTCAGGCAAGGTTGCATAGGTACTGTCGCCGTTATTGTTTAATGCTTATTCTGAAGAAATCATACAAGAAGCTTTGGTAAATGAGACAGTCGGCATAAAAGTGAACGGAAGTTTAATTAACAACATTAGGTATGCCGACGATACAGTCATATATGGCATATATGACAATAGCCGACAACTTTGAAAACTTAGAAAGAATAATGAACAAAATATTAAGATATAGTGGAGAATGCGGACTCTTTCTTAACATAAAAAAATCAAATTCAGGAAAATTAGCAAGAACAGCAATACAAATGACATGTTGACGGTAGGCGGCCAGCAGATTGAGAGAGTAAAAAGATATACTTAATTGGGAACGATAATCACAGAAAATAACGATTATACTGCAGAGATTTAAAAAGCACGTGCCAACTTCGTGAAAATGAAAAATATTTTATGCAGCAAAGATCTGACATTGGCCCTCAGAATGAGGCTAATTAAATCCTATGTACACAGTGTACTCTACTACGAAGCTGAATTATGGACATTAAACCAGAATACAATAAATCGACTTAACGCGTTTGAAATATGGACATTTAGAAGATTAATAAGGATTCCATGGGTGGATAGAGCTACGAATGCAGGAGTGTTACGGAGAATAGGCAGAGAGAGGGAAATAGAAAATACAATAAAAGAAAGAAAATTGCAATATCTCTATCTATGGACATTTAGAAGATTGCTAAGGATTCCATGGGTGGATAGAGTCACGAATGCAGAAGTATTACGGAGAATAGGCAGAGAGAGGGAAATACAAAATACAATAAAAGAAAGAAAATTGCAATATCTCGGACATGTAATGAGAGGAGAAAGATTAAACGTCTTGAGAATCATAATTCAATGAAAAATAGAGGGTAGGAGAACCATATGAAGAAGATGCGTTTCTGGTTGAAGAACCTGAGAGAGTGGTTTGGTTGCAGCTCAAGGCAATTGTTTAAAGCAGCTGCTTCGAAGGTCAGAATAGCCATGATGATTGCCAACCTTCGTCGCAGAGATGGTACTTAAAGAAAGAAAAAATTAATATTCTTATGTATTGATGATTTGACCTGCATCTCTACCTATTTAATATTTTCCCTTCATATGTATTGTAATGCTATCTCCAACCACATATTTCTGTTCTGTACCTAACCATAGTATATAGCTTAAGCATTGAACTGTGACCTAACCCTCACCTATGCTTCCACGTGCTACACCCTGGACAACTGCATCGATATACAAGCTAACCTAAGTGGAGGTAGCCAGGTATGGCGAAAATTTTACCGAGTAGTTATCGATTGGTATAAGCAATACCTTACTTATTGACCAATGGCTTTGGGTGGATGGTAAGTTGACCCTTTTATCCTAAGATTAAGAAATCGCTCCGAAGGTGAATAAACTAAAATTTTGGACATCGGCATAAGGATGTAGAAGAAAAGGGAAAACAACTACATTAAAGATCGCTATGGATATTAATAAGAAATCATTATCGTGAGAAACGATGAAGCAATGGCTTCTAGTCCCTTAAATAAGCAAATGGTGTGAAGAATCTTACGGCTGAAAATTAGATAATGACATACAAGAAAGGAAACACCAAATAATGGGACTAAAAAGTGCAATTGATAGGTTCCGGAAATTATAAAAAGGTGAGCCGGCTTACCGCTGTGGAGCTGTAAAAATCCATATATAGATAGATAGATTTTAATAAACAAACAGCATCAAACCTGTCAAACCCTATCCTGGAGCAAAGTAGATTTAATCGATATCAAACCAGATAATAAGCCAATGAAGAGATTAATAACAAACTAATTAAATTAGCAATTACATACCTAGCAATTACATACTTTGGAATCAAATCAAAGACATCATTACTTACACCTATACCCAGTACTATAAGGGAAAAAATAACAGCCGAAAGAAAAGTGGATGCTAGATGATATGCTGGGAATTATAGAAGAATGCCGGAAAGTTAAACATAAACAAAAAGAATAACGAGATTTGCAAACACAATAAGTTAAGAGAACAAAGCTGCTAAGGAAGAATGCGTAAAAAAGTTTAAGGAAATGAGTGGAATACTTAAAACAATACTTTTGGACATAAAAATGTGTTATTGTGTTATAAAAGCTATACCTTAGGCATACTACACACATGTTTTAAATTTCCATTAATAATAATTATTTAAGTTACATAAAGTGATGCACTAATTCTATCCAGTAGTTTATTTTTGCACCCAAAATAAATATTTACTTAAAATATCAAAAAAGATATGTTTTATACTTGCAGTGTTATACAATAACAGTTAATTATTTATTGCAACATTATTGGAATTTTATAATTAATAAAAAGTACAGCGTGAGATCATTTTTATTGTAGGCGAATTTTTGACCCAAGATACTAGTATCTTATCTGAAACTTCCTTACTAGGCAGCCGCTTAGTTTAAAGAAATGCTCCTAAAAAACGTGATTTTGATAAAAATTCAAAATATGTAATTACTAAAAACATGGCAACATATTGCGAAAATCAGAATGTAAATATAACATATACATATATATATATATATATATATATATAATATATATATATATATATAATATATATATATATATATATATATATATATATATATATATATATATATATATATAAATAATAGATATATTAGTGGATTTTCTTGGGCTTAGGTTCATAAAACATTCTGTGATGTAGCCGGATAACTATTCTTTACCACTCAAGCTTTCAATTGTGTTTACAATTCTTTTTAAGAGCTAAAATAAAAATACAGAATACCTTATTTATAAAGTGGAACGAATAATACCAAAAAGTAGTAACTCACCAAATGAAATTAGGTTTGTTAATCAAATTTTGCTGCTACACACTTAAAACACTATTATAAAAAATCCTTGTTCTAATAAATGTTTCTAATAAAAGAATTAAAAAAGAATTTATTGTTAATTGAGCATTAGTTTTGAGTTTTTAAAATTCTGTTTTATTTTTTAGTGTTTTATATCTTTTGTATTTGTTAAAGGCTTTTTGGAAGCTTCGATCGGTACCTTACATTGTTTATTCCACCAAGGAACTGGTGTATGCTTTCTAAATAATGAAGTTTTCTTAATGGTTACCTCGGTTGGATCTATGATGGTGTTGAAGAAAGTTTTATCAACATTTTGGTGTAATTTTTTATAGTCGCAATAATATCTTGGTAACCTTGTACATTTTTTACCAGCTCTATTAATTGTAACAATAAAACACTGAAAACTTTGTTTTCAAACTTCCACAAAATTTATTTTAACTCCTATCAATACAGCTGTTTCCGGCTGTTCCTTGTAAAGTGATCTATTTTTGGCTTACTTTTACACTTTATAGTCTCTAATGAAATATGTTGAGGAGGGGACAACTGTTTGTCTCAAGTTGGCCATTCAGAATTATATCTGTGTTTTTTACTTTGTTGATTTCCATAGATTCTAACAAATATAGCTTTAGGCCTTTATTTTGAATGTGAAGAATTTTAAATTTGTCATTAAAAGAATGATTATGATCTAGAAGGTGAAGTGTGTATGTCTAATCTGTTTTTTTATTATTGAAAGCCCTTTTATGTTCTGCTATTCATTTATTACAGTTTCTACCAGTTTGACCGATGTAAGTTTTTGGGCAGTCGCCACATTTAAGTTTGTACACACCATTATGTAAGTGTTTTTTATTTTGGCTCTTGTTATTTTTAATATATTTGCCTAGGTTGTTATTTGTTCGGAAAGCTGGTGTTATTCCTTTCTTTTTTATGTGTTTGGCTATTTTTGTTGTTATTTTGCCTGTATATGTAATCGAGCAGAAGGTACTGGGTGGTTCTCTGGTGGTGGAAATACCAATTTCAGGGCTTTCTTGTGTAGTTTTTGATTTAACAATTTATTAATTGTTTGTTCGTTGTATCTATTGTTTACTGCTATTTGCTTAATTATATTTAATTCTGTCTCAAATCTCTATTAATTGGTCGTGGTTAAGAATAAATGGTGATAATTTTTTATTATTTTTTTTTAATTAGTAGCTAAGGATTTTTTATTAGTTTTTTGTTGTGTTGGTTTTACGAAATTTATTTCATTGTGTTTGTCTTTTTCTGACAGAACTGCTAATAGATCTGAACTACTAAGGAAAAAAAGCAGAGATTAGCTTAGAGTCATAACAGGCTTCTTTAATAAACATGAGCCAGTCAGATACCTGCATGCAATGGGAATATTTCATGGAGAATTTAGCTATAGACTTTGTAGCAGAGAATCTGAAACAGTCAACCAGGACTTGCAGTATTGCATGACTGTGAAGCTGCATTAGATCGTAGGCTGTAAAATTTTTTTAAATGCTTAAACCTACAAAGTTAGAAGAAGATTGCATAATCCTGGAATTGGTATCATGAAAGGATGGAAGAAGTACAATAAGCCAACTGTCTGTAGTATGTAAAACGGCTTTGGCTGGTTTGCCCATCATCGTTAGTAGAATAACTAACAAAAAGAGCTTGTGATGAAATGACTGGTATTAATAAAGATAAGTAATATATTAATTTTTGCTCATGAATAGATTAGTCTTTAGTCCAAATGTTGCCCTAAATAAACCATACTGACAAATACAATCAAAAATGAAATGAAAATAATAATTATCTACAATCAAACGCAAATTATAATAGTTAGAAAATCCATAATTAAAATAACTTACCGTAGTCAGCAGGATTATGATATTGCGGACAGGGAAATCCACAGTCTTGCAAAAATGGAACTAGGTTAGTCGTAGCACCTTGATACAGACAATATCCATTTCCTACTACGTACACCTGATCAAACATTGCAAATAAAGAAGCTGAAGGCTGGTGAATAGTACATATTATTGTTTTTCCTTGCATAGTTAGTTTCTTAAGTAGTGTTATACATGTTGTACAAGAAGAACTATCCAATCCCCTGCAATATAAAGTATTTTACATTAAATAAACATTTCTAATTATTGCTTTGGTTAGATTAGGTTAGGTTACTTTTAGGTTTGGGTAGATTGTTAAAGAATATGCCATAAAAGAATTAAAAAATATATCTTACATCCCCAAATAAATATCTGTAATATATTATCTGTAATATTACCTTTATATTACTATTACTTTTATATTATTAACTTGTTTTTTCTCTTATCTAATTTTCTCAGGATATGCAAGAGATTAGGTATATCAATTAATGAAAAAAATTATGTACTTGTTTAATATAGGTATTTAATCGCAATAAAATTAAACTAAATAATATTCTTGGAAATATTGTATATTTATATATGTAATTCTGGTTGGGAACTCTGCAATCATTAATATACTGACTAGAATTTGGGCAATGCTTAACTTCTACTGTTCTGTTGTACCAGACGGAAATATCTCTTATGAGGTCCTGGACGGAATTCATATAAATTTCTCCGTTTTTCGCAAATTCGTGTCTGAATTTTACTTCATCTTGAGCCTTCAAGATTAACTCTAGACAGTAAAGTGGAAAAATCTCATATTGGACGAGCCTGCGACAAGTTTGAAGGATTATCGCCCAGCTATTTTGGCTATCTCTATATCGGATTAATTTTCACAATAAATTTTGCGTCTATCTGAAAATCTACTATAGTGTTTTTTTATGTATGAGAGGGTAATAAAACAATAAATTATGTATGCAAATCCCTAAACTGTTGATACGGGTGACTCAATGAAAAACAGATATTTGTCAACAAGTTTACATAAGTATATAGGAAAACAATTTTAAATTGTGTATGACCACCAGGTATAAAGGTTGGAGCAGAATAGAATACAATAGTTGTGAGGGTTACTAATCCCTAAATAAGGTTGCCAGTGTCGGAGTGATGGAGGTTAACAGGTACTAATGAATTTGCAAGAAATGTAAGATGTTTATTTTATTGGTTATATATATATATATATATATATATATATATATATATATATATATATATATAATAACCAATAAAAGATTAAAAGATTAAGTACCTACCTATTTGCAGAATAAAGTTTAATTCTTTAGATAAAATAAAACGTTTTATTGTATCTGAAATGAGTGCATTCCACGAAGTAAGGGTTTCAACAATCAAACATTTAATTCTTTAATTCCAGGAATCTACGACAGTAATTGACTAGATAATTACCTTCTAAACTTATTCCACAGAAAATGTTATAGTGGGTTTTTCCATTTTGTAGGAAGGTCCAAGTGGCGTATTCAAAATTCTTAACAGTTCACTAAAAGTAGGTACTTCAGTTGCAAGGTGCAGTTTATTGTGTATACTAGTGTTATGGAAAATTTGGAAGTGCCGTGTAAACCCCGAAAAATTGGTCCTTTAACAGTTAATGAAAAAACATTAATATTTAATTGTTTTAAATGATTTACAGACAAACGTTTATGTGAAAGTGTTGATGAGACCGTTGAGTTAGTTAGCAGTACACTTGGTGTTGGGAAATCTACGATTTACAGAGTTATTAAAGAAGAGAAATGTGGTAGTTTTCAAATGCCACGTAATGCTCCAGGGAAACCAAAATTTCAAATAGAATATCATTTTAATGAAGAACTTCGACGGAAAGTGCATGAATTCTTCTTTAGACAAGAATTTCCAACATTGGATAAAGTTCTTGTCTCAGTTCGAGATGATAAGGATTACCCAGAAATGAGTCGAAGTACGTTATGTAAACTTTTAAAAGAAATAGGCTTCCGCTGGAAAAAGAATCCTAGAAAGTCTATTTTATTAGAAAGAAGCGATATTGTCATATGGAGAAGACATTTTCTAAGAACCATAAAGGAAATGAGAAACCAAAAAAGAAAAATATTTTACCTTGATGAAAAATGGATCAACGAGGGTCATACACCAAATAAATTTTGGCAAGATGAAACTGTTACAAGTCAAAGGCACGCTTTTGTAAATAACTTATCTACTGGTTTAAACCCACCATCAGGAAAGGGACGCAGGCTGATAATAGTACACATTGGCAGTTCAGACGGTTTTGTTGAAGGTGGTTTATTAACTTTTGAATCAACTCGTACCGGTGACTACCATGAAGACATGAACGCTGATGTCTTTCAAGAATGGTTCGAACAAATCGATAGAAATAGATAGAAATAGATCTTCTTCCTAAGAACTGTGTAATAGTAATGGATAATGCAAGTTATCACTCCAGACTTATAGAAGGACTGCCCACAACCAAGTGGTTAAAAAAAGACTTGCAGAATTGGCTGAGTTCAAAAAATATTACGTACCATCCCGGATCTATAAGAAAGGAACTTTATTCGTTATGTGCCCTTCATAAAGAAAAATTTAAAAAATACGAAATTTATGAAATTGCCAAAAATCATGGAATGACAGTACTTAGATCCCCACCATATCATTGTGAATTAAACCCGATTGAACTGGTATGGGCACAGATAAAGAGTGAAGTTTCAAGAAAAAATACCACTTTTAAAATTCATGATGTTAAACAGTTGTTTTTGGAGGCCGTAAATAATGTAAAACCTGAAAACTGGGAAAAGGCAGTAAATCACACTATTAAAGAAGAGGAAAAAATGTGGAAGCTGGACAATATTACTGATAAAATGATCGAGCCAGTTATTATAAATCTTGGTTCTGAAAGTTCATCTTCTGTATCTGATTTGGATTTGTAACAAGTAGCTGTAAGTTTTATATTAATATTTTTATTCATCATTTAACATACCTTAGACGGTTTTAAAACTCTTTTTCTCTTTTGTAATTTTTAAAATTAAAAAAAATGTGAATTTTTTAAAACCTCTTAATGTAGGCCAGTCAGTTCTAATATAGTGTGTGTTAAAAGAGGTCACTTTTGTTTACATACACATAACACTTTATAACACTGAAATAATTTCATTTATTTTTTACAATTATTCAAAGTAATTTTTCAATTAATCTTGAGCACGTCCATGGAGTGGTCGGATGTACCAGTTAAAATTATGCTAATTACTCTCTCGTTCATAAAAATAAACTATAAAGTAATGACATGATGCTGGATCTGGCCAAACATGATATCGTCATTAGCATGATGTTCCTAAACAAACTGAAGTACTTGGGAAATATAGTCATCAATATTGCTCTGACTATTCAAAGTTTCATCTCTCACACTTTCAAAAAAAGGTCGAGATACACCCCAGTTATAAATTGCTTACCAGATAATGATTTTATCTACAAATTTTCTTTCATTTTTCTTGTATAAAGTTTCCTATGATTCTTGGTCCAATTTTAGTATATATCACGTATTTTCACAATTTCTTTTTGGTATGTATTAATTCTTTCTTAAAAACTGAAACTAATCGGGCAAGAAAATAAGAGCTGATAGAAAATTCTTGTCCTCTAGATTGGGCAGTTTGTTTACCACCTGTTAACACTTCTGATCAATCTGCCCAAAGATCTTTTTATCGACGACTTGTCAAACGAAATAAGGTTAATGATATTGGTTTATTTACTTGGAATGTTCGTACGCTTTATAGAGCAGAGCAGTTTCTCAAAAACACTAGATGAAAAACACTCACTAGAACAACTAGGTGAACATAGCACTTTTAAAAAATGAGATAGACAGGTAGTGGCAGCCTGAAAAAAAGCACTAAAATTTATACTATAGCGGAGATAAAAGTAATTATATTTTAAGTGTAATATTCATACTAAACAAACGCGTGAAATTACCAGTCATTTTAACCATTTATTCGACCCCATAAGTTCAAGGATATGCAAAATACGAATAGTGGGCAGGTTTTTCAACTACACTATTATCAATCTCTATGCTCCCACTGAAGATAAAACAGACGAGGAGGACCTATTTTATGAGAAACTGGAAAGTTCGTATAGGTAATATTAGAACAACAACATAAAAATTATAATTGACGATCTTAACGCTAAAGTCGGTCAAGAGACAATCTACTGACCAACTATACGCATAATCTTCATGCGGTCAGCAACCAAAATGGTTTACGCTTGATTAAATTGGTAGCATCATTTGAAATGGTGGTAATAAGTACTTTTTTCCACAATAATATCCGTACATTCACGTGGAAATCACCAGACGGTCAAACAAAATCTAAATTGACCATTTACTCATTGAGAGTCGACATTGATCTGATGTAGTGGGGGTAAGAGCATATAAAGTGCTAATATAGACTACCTTGTAAGAGAAAAACTTAGAGCACGTATCATCATCTTTGGCTATATGACCCATAGTAAGTCTTGATCTGTTGTAGGACCAGCTTCCATTCTTTTTTATCTTTCGCCTTGATTTTCCAATTTCAAACTCTTAACACTCGTAAGTCATCTTCCACCTGGTCCTTAAATCGTGCTCTGAGTCTGTCGCTTCTCCTTAGTCCATGATGTATTTGTTAATAAATTTATTTGTTTCCACAGCTCCATGTCGTTCATTCTTTCTAAGTGGCCTAGACACCGCGGCCTGTTTAGAGCACGTAATATTTAACGCTAGAAAAGGCCACACCATAAATGCTAAAATCTAAAACCGCCAGTGATAGTTACTTGCAAATTTTATATAAAGCGTTATCAAAATCAAAAAACTCTAAAAATATATGAACACTGGACTAAATGCAGGGAAGCTATGTATACAGAGCCTAAAGGCGTTTTAAAATCTAACAAGACCAAAAGAAACGAAGATTGGTTCGACGAAGAATGTAGATTCATTAACCAATAAAAAATTAAGCATATCGGAGAACCCGACATCACAGAACGAGACTCTGGAAGATTATAAAAACCTTCAACAATAAAAGAAAAGAACGTCTAGCTAGAAGGAAAAAGAAAGAGAAATACGAAAATATTCTAAACGAGGTTATTAACCACCACAATACAAAAAAATCACCACACTTAAACAACCGTAGAAAGGAATATAAACCCAGAATATATCTTTCTATTTACATCCGTCCTTGCGGAGTATCGGGCG